TAGACAAATCCCTTCTTTCCAAATCTAGATGTTGTTTAGATCCTCTCCAGTCTTGAAAGCACAGCTCAACACATTATCACCCAAAAAAAGAAGAGAGTGAGAATGATACTAAAGGAAAGGGGCTTCTAGCTGGTCAGGAACCAGCCACCTCTGGCAGATGGGAAGGAGAAGAACAAGAGGACAGGGAGATCTCGGCTCCTTACTTAAAATCCTTTTGCTGTTGCATCCCATCATCTCACTTTCTCGGCCCTTTGTATTCTGTTCTGTGCAGTCAAGAGTTGCCTTCCCTTGGTATATGTACATATGGTGGACCGGGGAAGCACAGGCTGGGAAAGATTCACGTAGGTATAGTGTTATTTATCTGTAATAAGATAAACTGATAACTGTAACACCTCACAGGAATAGGCAGAAATCTATTTAGTGTTACTGTCTGGAGGCTGCCCTGGGCTTGCTGAAATTACCAGTCCACCTATCTGGTGCTTAATATTAATTGTGGCTGCTGCATATCAGCCCTCGTGTGCAGCACACAGCCAGTCTCAATCTGGAGGCTCATCTGAGCTCACTTTTCAGGGGGTTCTGAGGACTGGCTGGGAAGTGCTGCCCAGGGAGGCTTTCCTTTTCCAGCCACAGTATTTGTGCTGCCCTGTTCAGCCAGGAGGAGCTTGCTGGAGAGTGCTCTTTTTTTTATCCAAAATCTGCTTATCTAAAATCATAGTAATGGAGGTGGTGGAAAAATTAATTCTGAGCGTTTACATCATGTAAATCAGTTTTTTAATATCAGCAAGAAAAACAGTTTGTGAACTATTTTAAATGACAAAATCTTAAATGTGTCTAGTGTTTAGTGTCTTTGTTATTTGTTATATGTTATTGATCATGTAGGAAGCACTTAAGTACTCGTAGACATTGAATGCTTCTGAAAGAATATGTTATGACAGTGAACTGGGGGAGGAGTTCTACCTTCCTATCTTATACCTTCACTCAATTAAAGATGGGTCACCATCCTAAAATCTTGAGAAGATGTTTTCCTATACTAAATTCTCATTCCTGTAACCAGCTGAGCATGTGTAACTTTGCAAGCAGAAGCGGGTTTATTTGGATCCCTAAACTTGTAGTCACACTTGCAGCCTGAACTCTTTTGATATTTTAAAAGCCAGACAGAAGACAAAAGTACCCATCTTCCAGCAGCTTAACAGACAATGTTTGGCTAAAGTCACCACCTTGCTTTGAAAAAAACTCATTTGCCACATTAGGATTATTATCTGATGCAGTCCAAATGTACAGTGGTATTTAAGTTAAAGCAGTGTGAATAATTCAGTCAATTAATTAGGCGCAAGTAGCGCTTACCTTCCATTGCGAAAGGATCAAAGGAGAGCACTTAATAGCATTTATGTGCTTGTTCTGCTCCATACCTTAGTGTCACTTCATTCAAATAACCTTCTGACCCAAATGTTAATATAAGTTATGATATTAAGTTACTATGCCGTGGTGAACATTTCTACCCTGTGTCGACGTCATGACTGCTGGGACTCAACACGTGCTGCTTCGTAGTAACTGGAAGTGGACAGAAAAATGGCAAAAATGCCAACCAAGTGAGGAACACTCAGATAGCTCTAAACCTCTGCCCTTCCTCTATGGAGTATCTCCTTCATAGGAGGTGGTGGAAGAAGTATCATGTCTTCCAACCTTGCCCTGGTATTTACAGTAAAAACTTGTGCAGTGAAGCTGAAAGGGTGATTCCACAGGTAGACCCAGTCCTCCAACACTTGTGGGTGTCAGTGTGCCTGGCTGAAGGAACTTGAATGACTGGAAGGGGAGCATTAGTTCAGATAAGAATTTGAATCTGAGTTTGTGGATGCTTTTGTTTTTACTTGTGGTCTTTTGCTGTATAACTATTGTGGTTTGGTATTAGGGCCTTCACAGAAAGGGGGATGAATAAAAGTCAATTTTTCCTTTGACTTCATTATTGCCAAGGTTTCCCTCTGCATCCCTGAGGAATTTATATTAGAGAGGTTTATTCTACTAACAGTCTATTAGCAGGATTGGCCCCTCATTGAAAGCATGATGCAGTGCATGAGATTAAATAAGGTAAAATAAGACAAAGTTTTAAGTAATTAGGTTGTGTGTGGTCACTGAATGTTTTCATCTCTGTGCTAAAGGTATTCACTTCAATCATTAACTGTTTTGTGAACTGAGTCATTAGAAATGGCCCAGGTCTTGCTACCACTGTCAGCTAACAGTAATGCATGTAACACATACATTTGTGGGGAGTCTCTTCAGGTTTGAGATACCAAGTTGTTTAAATAGGCTGGACTCCGATTTTATTTGTCTGTGGCCATGCTGTGGAGTAAAGGAAATTAAATTATCTCAATGTCATAAATATATTTCATTTTTTTTCTTTACAATGACTTATTGTCTTCTTCAGCCGTTTAATACAACGTAGTGCTGTTTAGGACTTAAAAGGACTGAGAGAAATGAGACTTTAATAAATTCATGAAGTCCTTTGCCTAGGATATTGTTCCACTTTAATGATTTTACTACTTGAAGTAAGTGAGGCTCATTTCATGTTTTCATTCAAGAGTTTGATAAATGATAGTGCCGTACACATCACAAGAAATAAAATCTTTTAGGACACAAGCCATAGTACCAGGGAAATTGCTGCACAGCTGGGTTTGGTCATGTCTGTGATAGAAGGATCTCTGCGCTGTCCCTCAACTTACCATACAGTAGCTTGTAGAGGTGTGTGGCTGTCACCAAACCTGCGCTACGGGTACCTGTGCTACCTGTGTGTTGGTGCCCTCACCTCCATTCTGGTGTTAGATTTCCTTCTGCTGAAGGTTTTTGAAAGAACAGAGCTGTCTTTCAGAGAAAGACCATAACAGATGCACATCTGTGCAGGTGAGCGTGAGAGACAGCTGTCTCAAATGGTTTACTCCTGTAACTCTGGTCTCTGTTCCCAGGAAAAATAAACGAGAAAATCACAAAAAGTGGAAGACAAAGAAGGGAAACCCAGAGAGTGCAGTGACACCTATTACTGAGGGCCAAGATGGCTTTCACGCAGATTGCATTTCCCAGTCTGTAGCCCCAGTAAATGCTGAATTGTACTATATTCAGTGTTTTAACAGGCAAAAAAATCAACTTGTACACCAGCCCTTCATAATGTAACTGAGTCACTCATATATGCACTATATAGGGGAAGCTTTAAAACACATGCCACATTTTTCCCCAGCATACTGGATGTAGAGGCAAAGCTAGATACAGAATAGTTGAAAAGCTCATCAAGGCCCATGAGGTACGGAGGAGATATTTAGACCCAGTATTGCAAATTCCCATCCGTACAATTAATACTGAACTTGCAGCAATGTACATGGAGCTTTCACACATTGTTAATGTTCGGCATGTACACAAGTCCTTTCCCTAGCTGGGCTTGCTGGTTCATGTAATAGATCCTTTTCTTAGTCTCCAGTTGTATGTGTCGCTGTTGGGATGTAAAGAGAGGAGAATAATTTGACTGTATTCCGGTACAGTGTACCATACAGCCTCGTGTGCACCTATAATCCACTGGTGCCAAAGGGACATATAGTTAGCCAGCCATCTGCGTGGCAGTTCTGGTGGTGTTTTAAAAGAAGTGAGTCAGTACAGATGGAATATTGGGTGCCACAAACTGGATTAGATAAGGTCATACTCATTCTTTAGTCTAAAGGCATCCATTTGCTAAAGCGGACAGCAATTTATTACGTGCCCCATAGTTTCCTAACAGTTGCCTTCTTCAGTACCAAGCACCTCATAATATCTTGAAATAGTTATTTTTTCATGTTGTATTCAGGACATGAGCACAGGGCTTCAAGAGGGCAGTAAAACTGTGCATGGTTCATCTGGATGCTTGTTGCTGTTTTCTGGAATTTGAGTTAATGAAAACAAAGTTTGAGAAAACTGCTTTTTTTTTTTTTTTTGGTAATTATCTCAATCCCAGCTTGCATTATCTTCTAGAAATTGCAGTGTTGGATCCAGCTGGAAACAACTGCAGTATTATTTTGCTATAGCACTAAAGCGTTTTGCCTGGAAGTTTAGCTATTTAGATTACACGTCCCTCTTGAAGCCTAATGTTCAAGAGCTCTTCATTAGAAACATCAATGGTATTAAATGGAAATGGATCTTGCATGATGATATAAAAAATCAGACCAGTAATGCAGTATCCCGTTGGTATAACATTGCCGTTATAATGTATTTCTTGTAATTGTGAGTTCCTTAACATAGCGGAGGGTAACTAAAATAACACGATATATTTATTTTACTACTAAGAGCTCTAATGAACTTCAGGAAAATAGTTTCAATACAGTGTTGTAAAAGCTCTGCTACCTTGCGCACATTGACCTCGGTCCTGCAAGCAATTACCCTTGGGCACAGCCTCGCTGCCTTCAAATGGCCGGCTCACGTGTGGGAAGTTCAATATACGTGTGTATACTTGTAGAGGTCAAGGCCTCGCCTGAGCTTGGAAAATCCGAAATATTTTAACCAAAGGGTAGATTTTGCAACAGCACTCCAGCAAGAAACTTTACCTTAAAATCACGCGGATAAAAATGGCCGGCTCACGTGTGGGAAGTTCAACATACGTGTGTATACTTGTAGAGGTCAAGGCCTCGCCTGAGCTTGGAAAATCCGAAATATTTTAACCAAAGGGTAGATTTTGCAACAGCACTCCAGCAAGAAACTTTACCTTAAAATCATGCAGATAAAGCTTTTTGCTCTGCTGCTGACTGTAAAAGCTCCTGCCAGCCGGTACTGACTAGGAAGCTGCCAGATTTGTCCTGGGAACTCAGCAGGACTTTACGGCATAACCAACCCGGGACGGGCTGGTGAGGCCCGTGCCTCTGTCCTTCACCGTGCACCACCACACTGGTTGTGATAGGAGCTCTCCTCAAAGGAGGCGCCTCAATTTTGGGTCAGAGAGATAACCGGCCTCCCCCGGCGCTCTCTTAATTCCCTGTCGGTTTCTCCCCCAGCTGGCTGTTCCGCACAACGATGAATGGACCCGCTTCGCTCGGACCCTGGTGGAAATCCGCGCCAACCGGGCAGACAGCGAAGAGGAAGGTGCGGTGGAGCTATCGGCCTAGAGGAGGAGAAGGAGCAGCGCCCGCTGTTGCCAGAACAGCAGCTTTCCCCCCGCCGAGTACGCCGGTGTTCAGTGTCAGAGTCAGTCTTGCTGTGGCTTTTGATGCCAGTGTACGTGCCAGTATCGCTCAAAGCATTCCGTATTAATCACGCTGCTTTACACAAGGCTGAAAATATCCAGAGCATTTTCATACTTTATATTTCTGTCTGAAAAGTAAGAAAGAAAAGACAAATCAACCCTTTATGGGTTTAGTTGTTGCCTTTTAACTACTTAGTAGCTGTATTTAATAGCTAGGAACCCCTGGTTAAACTTGTGCTCACATTGCCCTTCTGGCGTAGTCCTATTAAATCCATATGAAGCCAGATATGATTATGTGCAGCTGTGGTGTGCTTCACTGTATGGGACTGGGCCAAAGACTTTAGATGTGGTGTTTCACATGGTGACTTACATTATGAATGGATGTACTATATGAAAGTTGCTGCTCCTTATTTATTGCGGTGTGCTGCATGGAACATATTTATTTGAAAGCATTAAAATAAACGATCCTAAAGCATGTGCATAATGAGAGAACTGCATTGTCTGTGTGCTGCTGTAGAGGTTACATTAAAGTCCGCATAACAATTACAGTACATCAGTTGTGCTTAAGATGTAAGATCTATAAAGGTTGGCTTGAGTGGGTGGAATGAGTTTCCTTTCCTTTTTTTTAAGATGCCTATTATTTCTAGGCACTTTAACTATATTTCAAATACAGTTGGTCACTGATACTTGTCATGCAAGTTAACACTAACAGTCTGACAAAGGGTTGTGGTTCCCGAGTATGACACTGGTATTGCCAATAAAATGTATCAAGCCCGTTCTCTCGCAGCGTGGTTAATCTTTCCTTGCCAGCAGTGCTCGGCGTGTTCATTACCGGCCACTGGGGAAAATGTGACTGCCCTGACTCGCGGAATGCTCATGCAGCTGCTATGTAAATAGGTACCTTCGGCTACGGGGACTGCCCAGGAATGGACGTGCATGCATCAGATCCTGCTACAGATTTTATGGGAGCAGACACTAATCCATGTCAGCTTCTAGGCTTGATTATTATTTCTTTTTTAATTTTTTCCCTCCATTGCTAGCTGTGCGCACTTGCTTGCACACACAGAGCAGCACCGTGCTGCCATATGCACTAAAAGAAAAGGAATAGGAAAGACAAGGCCTCCTCAGACTGTCTTGAGAGACAGGTTGGGACGGGACAAATGAATATTCTCCTTTATGACAAACTCTTGTGGCTTGACCAAAGAAATAGGGTGCGGACTGATCTTGTCGAGTGCTGTGGCCCAGCACGTTGGTGAATGCTAACCTCGGTGGTGAGGCTGATAGTTACATTTGCATCACATTATGCTGAGCCAGAGCACAGCTCTGACACCTGAAGAGTGGTTCACACTCACTCGGGCAGGCAGGTGAGCCATTACAGCAAGAAAAGTCGGGCAGCAACAAAGATTTGGTACCTAAGTTTGCAGTGTCTCGTTTTTGGGCAGTCATTAAGAAATATTTCATGTAATGCTCTTCAGAGCTGTGGTCAAACCCAGAACCACTGGGAAGTCTCTGCACTGCTAAAAGGCAGAGTAAGCTGAGTAAATGAATCCTTTAGAGAACCTGGATTTCCCTTATCTTCTTGATTGTTAGAAATAACTCCCAGGGAGAGTGCATGGGCTACTTTCTTCTTCATGGTGGGATTTGAAGATATGGATGGACTGAGAGCAGCCCTGAGGAGAAGGACTTGGGGGTGTTGGTTGATGAGAAGCTCAACATAACCCAGCAATGTGCTCTTGCAGCCCAGAAGGCCAACCGTATCCTGGGCAGCATCAAAAGCAGCGTGGCCAGCAGGTCAAGGGAGGTGATTCTGCCCCTCTACTCCAATCTTATGAGACCCCACCTGGAGTACTGCGTCAAGCTCTGGGGCCCCCAACATAAGAAGGACACGGACCTGTTGGAGCAGGAGAGGAGGAGGCTCTGGGGGAGACCTTATAGTGTCCTTCCAGTATCGGAAGGGGACCTTCAGGAAAGCTGGAGAGGGACTTTTTCAAGGGCATGTAGTGATAGGATGAGGGGGAATGGCTTCAAACTGGAAGAAGGTAGATTTAGATTAGATATCGGGAAGAAATTTTTCACTGTGAGGGTGGTGAGGCACTGGCACAGGCTGCCCAGAGAAGGTTTGGATTCCCCATCCCTGGAGGTGTTCAAGGTCAGGTTGGATGGGGCTTTGAGCAACCTGGTCTAGCGGGAGGTGTCCCTGCCCATGGCATGGGGGTTGAAACTCAATGATCTTTAAGATCCCTTCCAACCTAAACCATTCCATGATTCTATATGTCCCAGTGCCTGTAGACATGGGACCAGAAGCTATCGCCCAGTGCCCATGGAAGTGTCCTGCCCACTGGACTGTGGCAAGCGGGGTCTTCCCCCAGCTGGACTAGTTCACAGAGCACAGATACATCAGTCATTGGTCTGGTGGCTCCATGGGACTGGAGCCATGTGTTAGGGAGCCTTGTGTCCCTGCTGCTCCCCTGGGTACTTTGGGAGATGTCCTGGAGAACTGGTGTAGCACTCGCAGCACTTTTGTAGCTGAAAGGTGAAGGCTAATAAACGACCAGGTGAGACACCTGTAGAGCAGTGGTTTAGACATCATTTTTGAGCTGGGTTTTTTCCCAGTTTCTCCCAGGTTTTCTTTCAAAAAGCACACATGAGGTTCTCTATGTATGTGGGCAAAGCAGATGCGGTGCAAAGTGGAAGGGGAGGAGGCACGCTTTGGCCATTAGTGGCTCGCAAGCTTAGGAACACGCGCACACCCAGACAGACAGCACAACAGTGCTCTCCCTGAGGAGGAGAAATCCCTGCAGTGCCCTGCGGTAAATCCACATCTGAAAGTGTGGGAATGCCGTGCGAGGGTACGCTGTGGTCTGAAGGGAAGGGTGTTTAATGGATGTTGTCTCCCATTCATCATAAGCAGTGCAGTGGGAATGGCTGGCAAATTTGCTTCCACCTTTTCCATACTACCATTCGGTTTTTTGAACCTAGGGTGGGGGGGCTGCACATTCACCTTCCAAGCTCCCCTACTTTATGGCATTAATAGCTTGTAAAATGCTTTTATGAGCAGACTCAGAAGACCTTCAGCATTTGCTGCTATGTGTAAATTAATATGACCAGAAGTCCCTCTTTTCTTTAATTTTTTTTTAT